TCATTGGATATTATTTCTGACTATTGTGCTTTCTTGGTGAAGCTTGCTCTAAGTATTCTGGGTTTCTTTGCTAGCATCTGATAATTGACAAACTTGTATCCGATTGGTATTCTCGTATGTTTCCTTTTATCTCTCGCTTTCTTTACCGTTTTTTTGATGCCATGAGAAGTAGGAATAGAGATTCATGATGATTTACCGCTTTCCTTTCCATTAGAAGTAGGACTAGAGATGCATGTTCTGGGAGTCCCTTCGAGGAAAATCTGGTTTATTTAAAGACCTTGTTTAAGACAATTCCTACTTGTGCTTGTGTTTGTTTACCATTCTATGTATTTATATTTTGTGCCAAAGACCTCAATGAAGGCGTCCCATTCCCATTTCTCTTTCATAAGTCCTATGAGAAGGAAAGTGGAAAAGGGTCCGTAATCGACCCCCATAATTTATAGTTCGTGTCATTTGTAGCTCGCGTCGTACGTCGATGCTACGAATCGTGCTACTCTTGTATTGAGTCGATCGAGTGGAGAAGGATTCACAATCAACCTCCATGATTTGTCATTAGCTCGCATGCCGTGCACGTTGATGCTCCAATATGATCTCATTATTGTATTCTATCTCCTACCTCGATAATGTGATATCTTGGTTAGGTGTTTAGTTGCTTATGATGATTCACTCTCGTTCTTGTCTTGCGTTGATAACGTGATATCTTGGTTAAGAGTTGACATCCCTTATACTTCTTGCCACAATAACGTGTTATCATGGTTAAGAATTACTCACTCCCCCATTTTTTCTTGCTTCAATGATTCAATATTGTGGCTAAGCCTCCATTTATCCTACCTTTATTACTCGATATCTTGGTTATATATATCCCACTTCCCTTGTCTTACCTCGATTAAACGATATTGTGGTTAGGCGTCCCTCTCCTTTCCTACCTTGGTGACACAGTACCTCGATTAGAAGTGTGCTACTTGAGTGAGTGGATACTCCTCAAGATTTATGTGATGTGTTTACTTTCCATTGCACCATTTGCCATGCTCCCATAAAATTTCTCGATTCAATCTTAGGAAGTAAATTGAGATAGACCTTAGGTTGCAAATCATGCATGTTAACATACGTAGATACTTCCCTTTATCCTCGACTATAGGATCAACTTTTCATGACAACTCTAGGCCTTTATTAGTCTCTCTTAGACCTTTTTCTTTCTCTTTTGCATATGTATTAAAACTAAAATCTCTTCTTTTTTTCTTTCAAACTTTAAAACACTCTAATAATACAAAAACTCTTTTTCAAGGTCAAAAACATCAACCAATTCAAACCTCATTTAGCTGCTTGGCTTTTCTTTTAAAACCCTTTTTCAAAGTAAAAAACATACAACAAACTGAAACATGTGAGCCGAACTATGGTGCTCTGACTTTCCCATTACACGAGGGAGTACGTAGGCACTAGGTTGTGGGGTCTAGGCGAGCAAAACTTTTTAAATATTCCTTATTTTCCCTATGTTTTCTTTTGCATGCATTCCATCTTAGCAGTAAACTTTAAACATATATTTTTACACACCCTTAGATAAGATCAAACTTAAGTGGATCATGTAGAGTACCATAGACGCTTGGGATGCTAATAACTTCCCTTCGTGTAACCGACTTTCGCACCCGTTCTTTTGGTTGCAAGATCATCTTATCCGTTTCTTTGGGGTTCTCTCAATATCTTTCCTTCCTTCGGGATAAATAGAGTTTGGTGGCAGCTCTGTGTTTTTTCACAGTGCGACAGCAGCGTCGTCAGAGGGTGGCCTTTCCTCCTCGACCTTCTTCACTTCACGAGCGTCTCACCGAGGGGCTTCTCTTTTCTAGTATTGCTTCAGGTGCCCCTCTCTGATGAGGATCTCAATCACATCCTTGAGGTGGATGCACTCTTCAGTAACGTGCCAGTGGCTCTTGTGGAATCGACAGTACTTGGTTTTGTCCATATTAGGTTTTTGGGGCGTTTTCTTGGGGAAAGGGACTCTGGCCTGGCGATATTTTGAGTTCGTGTACTCGAACAGAATACGCTCGCGAGAAGCGACCAATGGAGTGTATTCGAAGAAACAGTTAGGAGGTCTTTTTTATTCTCGAGGCTCAGAGGGCTTATTCTCCTTTCTTTTCTCCGTTCTTCGGTGAGGTACTAGGTCATCATGCCTCAAAACTTTGGCACTTTCCTGGCGCCGTGAGTCTCGAGCGGTGTTAGCGACTTCCTTCTCCTTGTATTGAATGTAGGCTTAGGCCTTAAAGAGGAGGGTCCGCAGAGATGTTAGTTTTTTAATGCCAACTGCTTTGACGAAGTCACTATATGGGCGCAAACGCTCGAGCAAGTATTTCTTCATGTTGTCGGTCTTGGAGACCTGGACGGCTTCTCGATTGAATCTCTCAATGTAGACTCAGAGAGGTTCATCTTTTTCTTGGGAAATCGCCTCAAGTGTCACTTAGATCTTAGGATGTCATTGAGAAGCAGTGCAATTCCTCAAAAATTGCCTCCTTAGGTCTTTTAAAGAAGTGATGGACTCCTCGGTAAGGCTTTTGTACCATGTCATGGCACCCTTTCGTAGAGTTGTGGGGAAAAACGTGCATCTGACGGTGTCTCTAATGCCACAATAATCGAGAAAGACACCAATGTTTTCTAAGTGATCGTCAGATCCATTATTCCATCATACATTCCCAGGTTTAATGATTTTTCCAATCTGACGGGAATTGGTGCATCCATGATTTTCTGAGACAGCGGCCCACGGGGGGCGTCTCTGTCGCTCCAAATTGTTGATAACAATGAAGACTGATTGTATTTCCCTCGTCGGGGGTTGTCATAGCAGCTTGGCGACGAGTTTTGTGATTGACTTTTTGACTTGTGGGAAGGCGAATAACGGTTCTCCATTCGGCCTCTTGCTCTGCTTAGTGCCCGAGGAGCATCGACCCTCGCGGGGAGGAGTCCAGTCGCGCTTCTAGGTCACCAGGAGCGGGTTGGTTATCGCAGGGATGAACTTCGGGACTCGTACCATTGGTGTTTCCGCAGGGGGGAGCACGAATGGAGGTCCTTCTCTAGTGTTTCGATCCTCTCATTTTGATGGTGGATCAACGTATTTGTCTGATTGATTTCCGCGAATAGAGCCGCCATCATCCAGCCGGCATTGTGGGGTACTAGAGTAGGCTAAAATGTCTCCCAGACCTCCTCTAGAATTTTATGAGATTTACGGGATTTGACGTACAGAGCGAGATCGTCGGTTGCATCGTCAGAGAAGGGGGAAGCGGTGTGTCGGTCCCTCATTGTTGGGGTGATATCTTCCAACTCTGACATACCATTGTTATTGTCGTCGTTACGACCAGGGAATATGACGGTTTCAGGACAATTGTTCTTGTTGTTGGGACCAGCAATAATCAGTATTCGAGTTTTTTTTTATCTTCTATTTCAAGGAAAATGGTGAAACAAGTTTTCTCACAGACGGTGCCATTGATTTTATCGGTGATTAGAAATAAGAGTGGTTGGTCCAAACGTCAATTGATCCAAGCGTCACACAGAGGGGGATTGTACCTGCAAGACACTTTGATGCTGAAGTCAAGAAGAGTGTAGAGGTAAGTGAGAGAGTTAGATATGTGAATAGAATACCTGGTCCTCTGCAAAGAGAGTTTTTATAGAGTCCCTGATGTTGGGTCAATGGTCTCCATTATGGGCTGAATATCCAGGCCCATAATGGATTACTTACAGAATTCCCACATAGCAGTGGGGATGAGCAGCTCGTGCTCATCATCCTGAGTCAACTGCTTTGAACTTCGTGGATGGTGGATTGATTGCGTTCGATACAAAGGGCACAACGACTCATTTAGTTATGCGAAACGTGCACAATAAGTTGATGATGTGTCATCGGATGAGGAGCACGTGGAGAATGTGTCTTCAGGTTGGGCCTCAATAGATTGAGCCATCATTTAGGCCGTCGGCGCATGGGTGAGTTGGATCGTCCCCGATAGTGGATCAGCCACGGACCCAGTCTAAAACAGGTTTCATCACGTAATTGCATTTCTGGTTTTAACTAATGTTCAACAACAAAAAAATACGTCTCAAAAATAATTTCCGATTACGTAGGAGCATTTTCAAAAATACATATGGTGTTTTTCAACTATATAGGTGGAATAAGAAATTCTCCAAAGAAATAAGACAGTAATATCATGATAATATAACAAATATAATTGTTGTAACGGCTAAAACGATTGATTGTAAATGGTCAAATACCATAAACGACAAGGAAAAATAATCACTTATTTTTCACATATTAAATATATTGAGATTTGCCTACAATATTAATAAAAGATAATTTATTGAAAATTTATCTTTTTTGTTATATAATTTTAATTATACTTTTTTAATTTGTTTGAATGCAGTAACAAAATAAATGTCATATTTGTAAAAAAAAAATATACATATATTAAAATTGCATTCATAAAAATTAATTTTCAATACAATTTCAATTTTTACTTTTCAATCATATCCTTTAATTAATGCTTTTTCTCTCGTCTTATATTACTGATAATTAAAATACATCAATCGCCATTTTGGGACGGACGGAAAGGATACTACTTACTAATCTCAACACTTTTAATTTTTTTATATAATCAATAAAAAACAATTTTATAAAATTACTGATAACCTGTCTTTTTCATAAAACTAATTATACTTTTTTTTGGGTACAATAAACTAATTCTACATTTTAATTTGTATGAATTCAACAAAACTTATAATAGCCGTGGTCAAATAGAGAAGAGCATCTGAATTTTGAAGTGCTATGTGCCAACCTCATTAGGCCACTAACCACTTGCTACTGTGACTTAGTTGCTATATTTTGGACTTTGGAGTGTGAAAGAGAGACATGTTGCTATTATTATTTCAACTGTGGAATACAGCTAAACCCCTCATCAGTCACCAATACTGATTCGTTTTTGTCTCTTGTTCATCTGAAATCATCTTTCAACATACAAAGAGAGCAATAAACAATGCATGCAAGTGCTGGCAAGAATCACTACAAGTTATGTGCCTGGACAGTAATTGTTCTTATAGCTCTTTGGTCCTTGTTCACAGGCACTGTCACCCTCAAATGGTCCACAAACAACCTTAATCAATTCTTAGATGGATTGGATTCTATGATACTTGAAGATCTAGATGTGTTGGTATGGTACCCAACAAGACATAGTTTTACATTTATTCATTCATATAGATAGCAGTTTTCTTCACAAATCACAAACTAACTGTTTTGGTTTTCAATTGTGAGAAATAGGAAGTGGAGGAAAGAGAGAAGACTGTGAGACATATGTGGGATGTGGTACAGTCAGTCATAGTAACTCCATTGAAGAAAAAAAACCTTAACTCCCAAATGAAGGGAAAAAAACTATATGACTGTCTAGGTTTCTAAATTTGAATTAAACTACTTGTGTATTAATGTAGAACTGCTACTCATTGTGGTTCAAAAAAATAGAAGAAAAATAACTACTGCTCATTGCATATTTATGTTTGTAGTGTCATAAAACTATCAGCAAACAGAAGACGAGACAAAAGCAAATTAGTAGAAATAAATTAAAACTGGCTTTATATTAAAATGACAAAATTGCTTGAGCAGATCCAATTGATGCTGCTACTGTTGCTGTATTAACAAAAATCCTAAAATGGAAAATACATGTACAAAGTATGGACATAACACATGTACAACATGTTCCGCAACAACCTGTGTTAATGTTAGACATGACATCAGTCTTCTACCGTCTGGATCTCACCCATCATAATCCGGTTACTTACGACATTGAATCCCAAAACTGCGGCGCTGACCTTTTTCCCTTTCTTACCTTTCTTTCCACCTTTTGAGGGGGAACCATCTGCCTGTCCCAGATTCTGTAAATTTGTATTTCCAGATAACACGGTTCCAGCAACTTTCCGATCATTCTGAGCCAGAAAAGCTGTTTCCAAAACTTCGGAAGGTAGTAACTCCATGTAATCGAGGAATTTGTCAATGAATTCATGATCAGGGTCATATGATCCAAGATTTTCTTTCAGAAACATCTCTGCTTCAGATTTTGATTGCTTCGAGCAAAATTCAAGGAAACTTGTATCTGCCTCCCCAAAAAATAGTTAAATTGACATTATATAGAAGATTAAATTACAGATAATGTGAACACAAATGCCTGACAATATCCAGTTAATTCCTTAAGAGTATGTTTGCGAGTTGGGTTTTGACGGGCTAAGTCAATATCATGATATATATTTGAGATTAAAAAAAATGAAAGAATGACACGATAGATTATCATATAACATCCCAATCAACCTTCTAGGACCCTGTTTAGATTGACTTATTTGAGCTTATCTACTGCCATAAGTTTTGTGACAGTATTTGAGAGACTATCAAAAACAGCTTATGAAATTCTTTATATATTTTTATGAATTTATTTTTAAAAATTCTTCAAGATAGCTAGTGAGAACAACTTATAACATATGTAAAAACAATTTCATCTTTTGATATAAAAACAGCTTATGTGAGCTTATTCATAAGTGCTTATTTTGATAAGCACTTGTGTTGCAAATAAGTTGTTTATCCAAACAGGCCTTCTTTAATCGATGTTAGAAACATTTTCTAATTACTTAAATTTAGAAATGAAAAATAATCTTTCCCTACATTTCCCTCCAAAGCCCAATACTCAAACATTGCCTTAGGGAGACAACAGCATTTGGAAAAACATTTGTTACTCTTTAGTCAACCTAAATCTGGATTTTTCCCTCAATATAATATTAAAATCAAGTTTGAAATGGTAGGTACCTTTTGTCCCAATAAGTCTCACACATTCATTCTCACACCAAACTCTGAAGTCCATGGCTTCTGAAAATTTCAAATAGAAAAACAGCTCAGTATTTTTAGGATGTCCTCTTACAATCCAACAACATACACAGAGCGCTCAATTAGACAGAATTGGGAAAGTGAGTGAAATTTCAGTTAAAATAAATATAAGCAATCTTTACCAGAATTCCTAGTCATGACATCTTTTTTTAATTTCAGCGATGATTGAGAAGAGACGGGTGATGATGACAGCAATCGCTCTGTTGGTTTGCTACTCCCTGATTTTTGGTGGCTTAATGATCCAGATGAATTACCTTTCATGGGAACATTTTTTGAACCCCAACTCCCCTGGCTTGCAAGCTGAGAGAAATTTGACCTGCTTATACAACGGCAACAAAACAAATATTGAATCAACATATCCTCAAAAGAAGGTTTTCATGCAAACAGCCATATACCTAATGTTGCATGTGTTAGTATCGCTTCTAAATACACAAATGCTCTTGGATAGAGAGACAGTGTCCAAAGGCAGCATAGAAGTAATAAGTTTTCCTAGAAGTCTAACCCAAGTCTTCAATCAGCCTTAACTTCCTATAATACCATCCAAAAATCTATGGTCACTTTCCATGGTATAATGTTATCATATTTCTATCAAAACTGATATTTAGTTGCACAGTTGCAAAGCACATCCTTTCGAAGAGAATAAGACCTCTTACTATATTTGGTTGTCATATTGAAAAAAAAATATTTAGAGCCATAATATACATGTATAATTAAAAGATTCCAAAATACAAAACCATTTGAGTACAGTAGCATCGTAGAAAATAAGTTTGATCAAACATATATATTAAAGAACTGCAAACTTAGTGTAGCATGAATATACAGCAAACACTAATAGCCCTACAACGAGACAAAAGTCTTACTGTTTAGCTTCTTGCTTAGATTGCTCGACTGGACCCCAGAACATGTCATCATCCCCTTTGTATTTTGAATGAGAAGCTTCGGAGTTTATGTGGCTAGAAGATGCAGCTTTTAATGAAGTTGGAGCTGAAATTGTCCGTGAAGGACCACTACTCTGAGCAGTTTGGGCAGGCTGTGATTTCTGAGGAGTAGGAAATTGGTTTGGGGGAACTGCAGAAGACTTTTTCTCCTGTTCCTTTAGAATGTCTCTTAATGACAGTGGTTTATGAACCCTACCGGAATCAATTGTCCAAGCTGGAGAAGGAGATGGGCTTGTTGGCTCTTCCCTCCAAAGAACAAAATCTCCCAGAGAGGGTCCTGAAGGTATGGTAGGCAGTTCTTTCTCCTGCTGCACAGACCGGGAGCTTTTTCCCTTTTCAATGGGACTTGAACTTATTGGTGTTTCATTAGAAGCAACTGGCTTTGAGATCTTGGACCCTGAACCCTTTGATCTTGTAGATTTTTTCCGGCTCCTTCTAGTGTCTTTAGCTTCAATGAATTCTCCTTCATCTATTGGTTCTGAATGGGCAGCTATATATTGTGAGAATAATATACTGTCTAGACCTGTGCCATCTCTTTCATTAAAAATCTCTATGTCTTCTGCCAATAGATCATGTAATGGACTTTTCTTGCTCTTGCTATGTTGAGAAGTTTTCGTTTTTCCCAGATTTTCGGTATTGCCTGCTTCTTTATGATTTTGACTAGACACCTTGATAGGGTCTGGATTGGCCACAACTCCAACCCAGGGAGTAGTCACACTGAGGGGATTGACGGTAGTAGCAGCCTCAATTACAGGTATTTCTGTCTGTGCCTTTTTCTGCTCTTCCAGTTGAATTTCTAATAAAGACTTCGCCTTGAAACCAGGAGCAGGCTTCCAAGCTCTCCCTGCAGACAATTCAGTACTATGGGAGGCAACAGGACTAATTGACTTCGAGTCATTCTCAACATATGTCTCAGTGATGCTTTCTGGAATATTAGCAGGGAGGTCACTAACTTCTTGATGAACTGCATTTGTGATAGAAGTTCTGGATACACTGTCCTCGCCGCTTGTTTGTTTGAGATGTGTTTCATAATCTTCTTCCCTATTGACCTCCTTCAAATTGATTTCACTATAATTTGGCTTTTCAGATTCTGAATTCTTCGACTTCTGCAAAGTTACATTTTTTAGCAATCCTTTCGCTTGACCAGAAGATTGGGATTTGGAAGATTTTTGCTTCTTTGATTTCTTCTCAGTAGCCTTTTTGGGTTCACGCAGTTCAATATCTCTTACATCTGCCACAGATGGCTCAACATTTGAAACAACTCTTCCACCTAGATGCTCATCTGGTTTAACCTCCACATCGGTACCCACCTGACCTGCCAGTGGTGATGCAGCCGAAGACACATTTGAACCCACCTGACCTGCCAGTGGTGATGCAGCCGAAGACACTACAATAACAGGTGCAACACAAAGCGCAGGTTTGGAATGCTCACCAGACTCAGAAATTGCATTCAGAAGAGTACCATCAGTCCTACCATTGTCATCTGATATCTGCTCCACATATTTAACAGTACAGTCAGAAGCAGAAAAAGGTTTCTGTGTGATATTAGGCTCTTCCGTGGTTCTACTCTGCTCATGCAATAGGAAAGTTTCAACAGAAGCTGATGCGGGCAATGTTTCCTTCTGGTACTTCTCATTAATTTGTTCAGGAAGAGCAGTGTCCCAACTTTTATGTTGACTAATATTTCCAAAAAATTGATGAGGCAGCTGCACAGATTCAGTGCTTTTATTATAGCTAGTATCTTGGCTTTCTTGCTGAGATAAATTCAAAGACTTGGTACTAAGCTCATCATGCACACTAGGAACTGGTATCTGAGAACTCATGTGAAAATTTTCAAGAGGTGGTTGACGTTGAGAAGGTTCCACATGCAAATTCCCCATTCGTATTCCACCACCCTGCAACTGTCCATAAGATAAACCCCCAAAGTGCTGGTGAGACTGGTGCCCCTGCAGCATATGAGAAAGCATTTGCTGTTGTTGGTGCATTAACAGTTGTTGCTCCTCCTGCTGCTTCAAAAATAGGAGTTTATCTAATAAAGGCATCTGCTGTGCAGGAGCAGTTGCCTGTGAATGCATCTGCAGCAAGTATTGCTGTTGCAACATATTCACTATCTGGGGATCCTGGGACAAACTGGAAGAAAACAACTTCTCTGCTGCCAAAATGTTAGATGGGTTATCTGCAGTTTGAGCTCTTAAGTTATTTAAAGACAAATGGTTCGGTGCTTGAAATGTTTGTTGTTGAGTTCCAAATGGTATAAAATTTTGATCATGACGCGAGTCAATATTATTCTGAAGGGGATTCAATCCAGCTTGCAGAGGATAATTTGACCAGCCGGCAACACTATTATTTAAGCCTGTGGATGCCCTGTCGGATAATCCTTGAATAACTGAGGTCAACTCAGAATTTTGGGACTGAAACTGTCGAGAATTGTCACTCAACGAAGACATGAGTTTTGAATGTGGTGATGCATCTGGAACAACGTCTGATTTTGGAAGAAGGGACGCTGCATCAATCCCTGGCCAGTATGGATAAGGATTTGGTAAGGATCTCTGTCGTTCAAGTGCCATCCTCTGAGCCAGCAAGTATGGGTTGTTTACACCATCAACTCCAGAAGGGCCCAAATTACCAGAATTGTTTCCAATAAATCCTTGTATTCCTAAGAAGTCCGTGATTAGGATAAAATATGACCATCTAAAACATAATTACCGCAATATATAGTACATATTATGGAGAGAAATTATAGTACATGGCATACTTTTATATTGAAAACATTTACTAAAGAAAAGAGCATTACCTTCTGAAAATGTCACGTTTCCAAGTGTGGGACTGCTCTTGCTACCAGACATGAGTGACTCCAAAAACCTATTTTCAGCTTCAGTGGCAGAACCCAGTCTATGCATGGAATTATTTCTCAACCTCTCAACCTCACCCGACCCAGTATGAATATTCACAAAGGTACTGGTATTTTGCCGAACAGGTGCCTCTGTAGTGTCAAGTTTTGTTACAGGGAACCCAGGTGGTGGTCGGGCTTTAGCTCGTAAGTGGGGCATGACATCAACAAGTTGCAACCATGGCGAGTCAGCTGCTGCGCTTTCCAGACGAACCAGTAAATCAATACCAAAATATCCAGCCTCAAGCCATCCAATAATATCAACTCCTTTGAATGGACCTTGAACTTGACCTCGAGGATCTTTATAGAAAAGGGATAACTCCTCTGGAGAAGTCTGCGGAACTCTTCTGCTTTCCAGTTCACCATCCAAATATCCAGGTAGTTGCCTTTTAACAATTGAATCTTCACTAGATTGCCACTTAGCTACATCTCTGGTGTCAGATAAATAGTCCAAATTATTTTCCCACTGACTACGAAAATCTTTTGGCTGGTGTGACCACTTCATATCTGAGTTTTTTGAACTGACATCACCAGGCACATTTTTGCTATCATGCATGAGACTACTTGCTTGTTCACCCTGCGATGTGGTACGCCGTCCAGTACCAGGGTGAACAGGACTATTTTCTTCAAAGGCTGACTCACTGTTACTGTGCACTTCATCAGCTACTTTATAAGAACCTCCATCTTCACCTCTATCTGCATAGACAGTATTAGAAAAGCCCTTTCAGACAAATAACAACCCATCTTCATTTAGCCAAATGCAGCAAGGTACAATCCATTAAAGTGAGATACTGTATCCAAATTAGCCAAATGCAGCAAGGTATAATCCATTACAGTGAGATACTGTATCCAAATGCAGCAAGATATAATCCATTAAAGTGAGATACTGCCGGAAATAAAACACACTAATCTTCCACTCCTATACATCTTCAAAAGTTCACTTCTTAAGAAGTTTAGATCCATTGACCCTTGTTTATCAATTAGAACAAATTAAATGTATTCAAGGAAGTAGTGCTAGCTTAACTCCTTCCTCGTAAATTGTGTACTCATTTTTCACAAGTACACATCGGACCCATTAACATTTATTTAAAACAATAATTCTAGGCTCCAAATTGATAGTATTTGCAATATATAATAGAATCGACGAAAGTTAAAATCAAATAAGACTGGATATACTATATAGTAAATCTTATCAGAGACAAAAAGGGGGAGCAAGAACCACTTGTGACATAAGCAAGTTCAACCATGCATGTGCAATAATCATAATACCCATTAATTTTATAGGGAAAAAATTCAAGGTTCCAAGCAATTTAAATTATAGTAAATATATCACTTTAAAAGATAGGTAGGAACAAAACTTACCTTGTAATGTGTAATTATTGGGGTAGTAAAATATACAACTCCCGGTTGTATTTAGTTTTTAATTAGCAATACTTCATTTTTAAAATGGTTAGAGGATGCCTTAAGATTTGTATGTTTTTCGAGTTGGTTAAAGAGATATAACTGGTGTTTAGTTTTACTTTGAAAAGCTTTCTAAAAAACTCATATAATCAGTGGCAAGTTCCTACTAAAGAAATCCAGTTTTAATTAAAATAAACCTGCATCCACCCCAATCTTCGAGCTTTTATTATTAATTTACCTTGGACAGCTGCATTTCCAAGCTTCATTTGTCTTGAATGTGTAAACTCTGTTGAGTTCCTTCCATCTTTTGGCACCGGAGGTGCACTGCTACTAACTATTTCCCCTTTGTCAATACCCTCTAAGACAGTCTGTTTCAAACAGAAAACCAATATAATAAACCACTAGAAATGACAGTGTCATCCAGAAACAATATACAGTAACATCAATTACCAGTTCCTCAGAAGTTGGTGCACAGAGAGCTAGAGGCTCCAATGGTTCGTCTTGTGTAAAAGGAGGAACCTGCGCAAAATCATCCACTAGTTTTATAGCTGTATGCACATCAGTCACTCTGTACACATCAAGTATATTAGTCCTACTATATCTAAATGGATGAGCTTCTCCACGCTCCCTTTCAACTTTATCCAATAGAGTTTGAGTGTATTGAGAATGCATGTACGAGCTATTTATAGGACTCCCACCAGAGCCAAATCGGCCACGTCCGAGATTAGCCCCTGGAAGTGTATCCTCCCCGCGGCCACGTCCGTGATTAGCCCCTGGAAGTGTATCCTCCCCGCGGCCCCGCCCAGAAGAAAATATAGGCACTTGTTTGCTGGGTGTCACATTCTGGTTCTGTGAAGGCTCTATCCTTCCACGTCTTTGTAAGGAGTTAGATCTCCATGGCGAAAAACGATCCCCTTCCTTTTCATCCTTACCAGGATTGGAAATGTGAGACGAACCTTTGTCCAGGTGCAGATCACAATTTTTATTTTTACCAGAGTCATTCTTTTTTTCATGAAGAACTTCAGGTTCCTTCTCGTCATGAGCCCAACGTGAGGTCCACCTATTCTCACGCCTCTGATCAAAATTCACCTCTCTATTACCTGAATCATTCCATCTATCAGACGTACTACGACGTGTTTCTCCAAAGTTCCTTGCCGACAGGTTATCTGCCCATCGGTCCACTCTCCGAGCATCACCTGACACCTTGTCTCCATCCCTCCATCGTTCCTGACGTATGGAGAACTTGGTGTCCCGCTCTTCATCACGCCAACGGTCATGACGTCCACTTTCAGAGTCGAGCACGGATGGCCTAAAGACATCCTTTCTCTTATGATCGTCCTGCACATCTTCATTTCCAGATGTCTTAACAGCCTCTGAGCGATTGCTAAGTGACGGAGTTGAGATGACATGGCTTTCCTGAGAAATAAATAAAATATTTCCACAAAAACATCACAAAAGTCCGCCAAAAAAAATCAAATTCAAAAAGTTGCAGGTAATGGTTACACACCACTCCTGCTCCAGGTTTTCCCTCCCCTGGCTTTGGCAGAAGCCACTGCGGTGAAAGTGGAATAGGATTGTCAGAGCCTTGAAAATCTGGACATATATGATAAGAGCTTCAGTTAAACTAAAAGCGTTGGTTATAAATAAACAAATATAGCCAGAATTAGTTATAAAATAAACAAAAAACGTAACCGTTCATGATTTCAAACTAAGATGAAAAAACATAGACGTTTTACACGGTGCAAAGATCTAAGAAGCTTCTACCCCAACAAAATAATAATAATAATAACTAGCGGAAGCTAAGAATTAGGTTTGAGATTAAATTAAAATCGATTTTCTGAACAAGAAGATGCTAGGGTTTAGTGGCGGCATGAGAGAGGGGGAAATTCGAGATGAAAAAGGGTGGAAGGATGGAGAGACCTTTGGAGATCGGGAAGGGAGGAGCGGTGGAGACATAGAGGGAAGTAGCGGAAGTCCGGTGAGACATGGTTGATCGGCGGCGAAAGAGGTTGCGGTTGCGATTGCGATTGAAGTGCGAAAGAGGAAACTCAAATGCAAAGAGGTGAGAGTGAATAAAAGTTTAACTTGTGGTGTCTTAAAATGCAAATTGTTGATGATTTTATCAAAGTTTGGGTCCACTTGTTATCGCTCTCGTGCTCGCTTTTGTTCGTGTCCATCACGCGCCACAGTGAAAAGCTTTGGCTATGGCTATTGTTTAACCTATTTTTGATGAAAAGCTTTGACACCGTGGTGAATTTTGATGTGCGTGTGAAACACGCGCGTTGGTTGGGATCGGAGAAGGGTTTCTTCCGCTATACTTTCCCTCGTGTTTTTTTTACTATTATTACGCGTGTCTGTCAATGTCCTAAACGTTTCGATGTGTAATTGATTATTTAATTTTATTAATTACACCATCAAATAATAGATATCGTTACTTATTATTACTTGATCTGTCTCAAACTATATGTTATTTTAATAAAATATATTAGTCTATATAGTTTTTTTGGTTACATCGAGAAAAATTATTTATAAAAATATTATAAAAATTATAGTTTATTAAATGGTTTTATAATATTTAAAAATATATTATAATATTTATTATCTTAATATTTTTTAAATTAATTCTCAAATACTATTAATAAATAACATTTTTATATTATAATCTTTCTTATTTATATTAATTATGAAAAAGTTTCTCTTTCATTTTTGGTTAGAGTTTTGTTGAAGAGAAATGCATCAGCAAAAAGAAGAAAAAGAAAAAATAATAATGATCAACAAAGGAGAAAAAATAAAGACAACGAATGATAAAGATGAAGATAACGATCGATTATGATAAAATGACATAGATTATTGTTGAACAGTTAAAACTATTTTTATCTTTGATATATCATCATTCTTCATTCATCTTATATATCACTTAAAACCTCAAAAAATATTATTAAGACTTAAGCTAAAATACTTTCAAAGTTAATGCATAAATATCCATGGAAGTCTTGCCTTAAAAAGTTTTTTTCAAGTGTAAAAAGTGATTTTTATTGTTGTTAGAAAGTGATATTCGGCTATCATATATTGGTATTCGACTATCAAAATTTAAATTTTGATATATTGGAATGTTACAATGTGGTAGTTGACTACCAGTTGAACGAGTGGATTTTTTTATGAACCAAAATCATTTCTTTGATTGGCACTGTTTATTGGAATCTTTTCAAACTTATGTATTCACTCATAGAGGTTTCTAAATGTGTAGAAATGATGGTTTAACATACTAAATAACTACTTCCGCACAATCATTTACACAATTCAAATACCATTTTCAAGAAGAAAAAATTTCAAAAAAGTTTGAAACTATGCGCTTTCATAAACTAGAAAAAGTTTCTTAAACCAAAATAGAATCTGAGCAATTATGTGTAATACATTTTGTTCTAGACTGGGCCCGCCTTGGCCCAAAGTGAAGATAAAGGCCTAAATTCAAGCAACTCCTCGAGGAATGCTCACAAACAGACCATCACCGAACGTGCCCGACCACAGACTACAGTTGTTATGCCCGCCATTGCCTGCGATAAGCAGTGTCCCCGACCAAGGGAACTCCAGCTCGAGTCCGGCTCGGGCACCCTCCCCGTAGGGAAGATTCTGTCCACCCTAATCATAATAGAATCCTCTAAGCTCCGGAAAGACCGCGTCTTCGTCCCTCCTTATTCTTCACAGAGCACCACCAGGAAGGGGACCACGTGCGGGGCCCCACTACACACGTAGAACCTGGCAGTTCCTTGATTGGACCAGTTCTAGTCAGCCCAATAAGGGGACCTTGGCCCAGCGTTGGGGGCTTGTTTACCGTTGTTTTTGGTAAACAACCGCTGATCTCCAAAAAGGTAAGTTCTTTTTGGTTTACTTACGGGATCAATCAGATTAATCTCGAGACATATGCTAATTTTTATGTAAGATGGATAAGCAGGAAGAACGCACGTTCGACCCAGAGAAAGGATGTTTGAGATTTTGGAAAAGTAAGCAGAAATGTAGAAATGCAAGCAAAAGAAGTAAAAAAGATAACTTTGCAGGATAATAGTAAAGTAATGTAAAAACTTTCATTAAGGAAAAAAGGTGTTTCCAACGTACATTTCTCAGTCTTTATCCTTTCTCACGCAGCAGTTACTTGGATAATGTTTGAGTGACTTAGTACAATAGGTTGAACACACTTGAAAATTACACAAGTTTCTTAATTTATACTAAAAATCAGTAACCGTCGAGGGAACATTCTGCGCTAGGACGAAGACAAGTGTCTTCTACATGTCCCTCGACCTATGGCTTTCAGCCACGTTGCTTCTTCTTAAACGCTGGCGAAACTGCCTTTCCCTCCAATGATTCAAAATTCAAATAGTCCTCGTATCATGTGTCAAAGCGAGGATACTTTCTCTCAGTCGAGTGACATAAGTCCTCTTCAGTCGAACGAACCTGAAGATGAGCCCTTGGTCGAAGAGTCAAATATAACTTAGATCTTTTCCCTAAGTTATTTCATATGTCGAACATTCTTCTTGACTTGATTCATTCCAGTTTTTTGGTCTAAAAGACCAAATATAGTAAGTGTTGAATTTGGGAGCCAACAAATTGCCCCCCAAGAATGTCTATTTTGACGCCCAAAGAAATAGCCACTCTTTGAACTTCCCATTTGACACTTGTCTTCCCAGTTGTCTACAAGGTCTTGACGTGTGCTTTTCGCCTTCCAACAGCTGTTGCACTTGAGAAAACCATCATTACTCTTTCTCCAAGATGTCTCTTCTAACTGCCGTTACCATGCTTGCCATGATGACCATATTCCTATAACCTAGGCAAGCATGTCAAAACGTTTCCCAACGCCTGCACGATAACCGTTTCACACTTCGCCATGTGTCCCACTACCTGCGAAACATTAAATGGCCTTGACGAGACATATCCCTCTTCTGAAGGCTATAAATACTTCTGAACCTTTCTATTTGGAACTTTTACCATTTCCAGCATTTCCAAATCTCTTGCTTTCAAATAACATTGTATTGTCAACTTCATTTTCTCCCAAATCCTCAACAATGGCTTTCCTCTCTAATGCACCAAACAATCCTCAACCTAAAAACGCCGATGATGTCCAGAAACCACCAGAGGTTTTTTCCACTAACCCTTTTTCTTCTTCGATTGATAGGTATGTTGTTGAACCCATGACGAAGGAATGGCGAGAAGCATATGATTCTCAGCTCCTCATTCCCATCAGATATGGTGGAAACATGTATGCTATGTCTGGTCCGTTGTCTTCATGCGTCTAAAATCCCTTAAAGAATCGCGCCTTTTTCTCTACTCACCCAAGGCTCAGACCCATAGGTTGCGCGAAGAAGCCTAGGGATAACCCTGAAGACGCTACTCCAGCTAACCAGCAGCACCCTCATACTACAGAGGATATCAACCTCCAGTTCATGAACAAAGGGAACCGAATCTTTCGATCCAGCCCTAACCTCTCCTCTGAGTATTCAGACTGGTTGAATAAAATGGAGAAGGTGCAAGTTTTCGTCTGGAAGGAGATGGGCATTTATGACGGTGATGCTGTCGAAGACAGGATTGCCTTACTTCCCCCTCATGCTGGTATCTTCATTGTATTTCTAGGATAGTGCGCATTTCACTTTTCATCTTCCTTATGGGATGATGACCCCCACTTTATTCGACATAGATGCAATCACTGGTCTTCGACCGAATGGTGACTATTTCGACCCTGAAGACTTATCTGAGGATGCTATTGGGTTTGCTGCTACAAAACCCACTTACACCACCTTTATTAACCACTTCCACGACAAAACCTCTAGTACTGTGTCAGAGGTAGAGCATATAGCCTTCTTGGCTATGTGGTTGTCTCTTTTTGTTTTTTGTACTAAGTCACTTCAGGTGACGAAAAAGATGCTGACGCTCGCGACGCAGCTTCACCACAAATACCCCCTTTGCTTGGCCAAATTGATTTTGGGCAACCTATATGAGTCCATCAGTAATGGTGTGACTCAACTTAAGGTTATAGGGGACAGGGGGAGCCTGCTGCTATCTGGTCCTTTTTGGCTTCTCCAACTTTGGCTCAATGCCACCTTTGAATCTTTCCTTCCTCAGAAGAACAAGATTAACGAAGAGGCCCCTGAAATCCTGAACAGGAGGGTCGAAGGCACCAGGCTTGCATTGCTAACTCCCACTGATGAAGGCCAACAATTTCAGAAGGCTTTCACAAGCTTCGTAATGATGTTTGCGGAGCGAAAGCGCTTTGTTTCGACCATGGCTCCCTTTGCCAGTCGAAAATTTGGTCCATAATGGTTCACCAGACCATATCCTTCGAATGAGGAGGAAGACGTGACTGATGAGTTCGTGAGCATGTGGGAATCGTTTCTTCGCCCCAGGATCATGCCATTGAGATTCAAGAGCTCAAAAAATCAATTGAGCTTGATCGCTTATCAACCAAATCTTGTCTCTCGACAATTTGGTATTGCTCAGTCACTTCCCTCACCCATTTATCCTCGAGAGAAGCTGCTACTTTTTTACAATGCAGACTACTCAGAAGATGCTGCTACCAAGCATATTGGTAGGTACTCCGGTCGAACTATACTGACCATGTTCGACTTTAACCTCAATTTTCTGAGTTCTGTTACTTTTGAGGAGTGGTGGAAACAGTATTATGACGAAGAGTTCTTCGATGAGAAGGATTTCGCCCACCACCTACGTGAGGCGTTTAAGCTGGTTCTCAACAGGGTCAAGAAAGGTATTATTCTTTTCCATCTCTTCGCCTCAGATTTGTCTTTTGACACTCGGTTAATCATATTTTTCTTGTCTTCTATTTAGCTGTCAAGAGAACCACCTCAAAGAAGACTGTTGAGAGTACAAAAGGGGGAGATTTCGTCGTCAACCCCTCTCCCAAGGTATTTACTTTCTTCCATACCCTTATTTTTTATGATTGTCTGATATGGGTACTGATCCCTTCGACTTGGTTTTCTGGGT